AGTCTGCTCGGGGACCCAAAAATCCGGAGATCCAGATGTCACGATTACAGCGGGCCTACCAACAACTCCCGGACGCCGAAGACGCCGAGCCTCTGCCGCCGCCGTGCCATTTTTCGAGCTTCGGCCCAAGGATAAAGGAGTAGGAAAAGGTTACTCGGTTCCTTGGAGATGTACTAGCATCGGATATTTGTGCTTACCCGGATGGATCGTCGGAGGGACATGGTCGCTCAGCATGGGGTTTCGTCTTGAAGAGGGATGGAATTACTCTGTTGAAGAGATATGGCATCAAGCATGGTGGTGAAGTGCTTGATGCGGAAATTGTAAGGGCGAGAAAGGCCCTATAAGCTGCGCTGGAATTGTGGGAGAGGGTCAAAATGTTGACTGGAACTGCCACAACAAGTCTCGACGACGTGCGAAAATTTAGAGCGTTATCAGAAAAGGCTCGAGTCTCGGTTCAGTGGATATCAGCCCACTCCGGGATACAGGGAAACGAAGAGGCCGATAGAGCTGCACGCTCCGGCCTCCGACAACTTCCAAGTAAAGAGAGCCAGCCTGACTCCGCCACGTTGGCGTACGTTCGTCGGCTCATGAACCGGAACAGGCAAACGCTTCTTGACGACTGGTGGGAAGTGTCATGAATGCGCTTTTCACATTAGTAGTAAATCGTCATCCACGTAGTGTAGCACGCAGAGCCAGGGAAATGGAAACAGGTTAGTGATAAATTAGATAACACCGATCGCTACACTCACCCGTAGATCACTCCTAAAAGAGACTAGCTACGGCGCTATCTGGAAGTATGTGGGATTGGTTAATTATCATGTAGATAACCTGTAACATAACATAACATAATAACACAATAAGATACCATTCGCATCCCGTAACATTTTATTGCCATAATCACCCAAGTATATTCTAAGCCCCCTGAGTAGTCACAACCATTTAATTGAAGATACTAAGTGTATACAACCATATACATCACCACCCTTCAATAGGAAGAAGCATGTCCACCTAGATATCGTAATCTGGGCCTTCTCATGCGACGAAGTAAGCCACGCGAGCTGGCACTTTCTCGGCGGCTACTTCGTAAACTGATTTCAGCTCGTACGGGACACGGAAACTTCGCTGCATGCCATCGTCGTTTCAATAACTTCGCCGCTTCAATGGAGTGTGCGTGTGGAGAGGAAACATCACCTCTCCACTTCATTCACTGTCGACTGCACGCACGCCAAACGCGTCGACTTCGAGGGATAACATCACATCACGACTTTGTCCAAAAGCTTCTCGAGCCTAGGTGCCTTGAGAATTTTACATATTTTGTGCAGGAAACCGGCTGCTTCGGAGGCCAACCTGCGAGTCCGTCTCCAGCTCTCAGCGGAGAGGACATTGTTTAGGTCATAGTACGAAGCATGGCAGGAAGGAAAACGAGACGAGAAGTGTTGCTTTCCCACCTCAATTTGGAGTATTGCATTTGGAATTTTTGACTAGCTACTGGTTGTGTAGTGGTTCACGCGGTGAGACCGAGTTGGGCATGTGGGAAGCATGATCTCGACCGTGTATGCTGGTCCTTGACTCCTAGGAGATATAGAGCTTAGCTTAGGACCATAAAATCAAAAAAAAAACCCCTTCATCAATTACTTCCATTAAGCATCACCTGACTCACCTCTCAACTCCATAATTTCAACAGGAAATGTATTTTTACAGGAGTATGACTAAGCGGGCCCTAAGGCCAGCATCATACATGGGCCGCTCACAGTGAACGGCAAGAGTTTGTGCACTAGATCCTGTAACATTCAGCTCAGTGTTTACCCGTGCAATTCGGCCACCTTTTCCACGGAACCTTCTACATAAAAAATTGAAATGGTAGCAATGGAAACTACGTGTGCGGGAAAAAGTCTCAAAAAACCTGCAGCCCCAGCCAGGCGAGGCCTAGACACCGGGACCACATGAGGTGCGCATATTCATCTATATCTCCCTTCTTTGTAACACTCGAGTCCGACATGATCCAATCCGCCATCTCCGTATCGGGTGCTGGGTACGCTCCGGAAACTCATCGGATGGCTTTTCCTCTATGACCAAGGGTGAGTGATGTGAAAAACTTCGACCCTACTATCTGATCTGATGATGGTTTGTGTCATGAAAATGATGATAGGGATTGTTCTGAAAGATAAAGACACTTCAGACCGTAAAGTCTATTGGGAACCCTCATGGAATTCAGGACGGTGTACTCAATCTCCGCTCTGCAATCTGCACAACAAGGACTGGAGACTTGCAGGGGACACCACTGACAGGTGTTAAGAAAAGACCCTCAGCCTACCAATTATTTTCGGTGACGGTCCCGAGATCTGATAGGCAGTGGCTTCTATTTAAATTTTCGTGCTCTCCAAGGTTACAGGATCTGAGAGGAGCTTGCTTCTTATTCACCTTCTTGAATCGAAGACCCCGCTTAATGAAAGAGTTCGCTAGACATATCTTATTTGCCAGGCTTATTTTTATGAAATGGAGAGACACGCATCTATACGAATAGTTATGCTTAAGCTTTAAGAGCACGTAATCGTTGGGTCGGGCTGGCTTGGGAGCCGAGGCATAAGGCATGATTCTGGATATAGGCCATATTGCTTTAAGATTGGATACTATCGTTGATGTAGCCGCAGGAGTATCCGGGAGTAGCTAGCTTAGTCTTCTTGTGAATCACCCGAGTCCAGGGACTTTCCGTGGTGTTGGTTCTGTTTGCTTAATTGCCATGGCTGGTTTTAGGGGCTGGCGTCGCAGCCGGCGAGTTAGTTGCTGATTGTCTAGTGTTTTCTTTTTAAATTAAAATTTCCACTTGAAGTTCCATGTTCATTTTGGATTGTAACTAGGCCCTGTCAGATATACATATGAGATAATTTCTGGTAAGAAAACCGACAGCGTTTAGTGGCGCTGTAGCTTGGATTTGGGCAAGGCGGCCACACAGAATTCATTTAATATTACCTTTAAAGGCCAATACATCCAGTTCAGAAAATTGTTGAGGCCTTTAATCTGTGACTGAGTCTATAAGGTTGCATAGTCCGCTAAGGGGCAGCTCTGATTCTGCTAAGCGCAACTGAAATGTCCTACCCTGAATATTTAAGTATTAAGTCATGATGATACCCGTTAATTCGGTTAATCATTGGCTGAGGCTTGATTGCTCCTCTACAGGTCGGCTCTACCATTAGTTATTGTGGTAGCTCAGCAAGGACTATTTCGACTTCTTGATGCGGCGAGGATGGGGAGGGGGCCAGATTAGATTAGATTAGATTAGATTTGTATTATAGTCCTAACTGAGTCAATGACTATTGAGGACTCCTAGAATCTACAAATAATATACTAGCTACATGTTGTAAGTTCCTACTTATTAACTTTATGCTGTGCTCTTATGGACAGTGAGGGACACGCCCTGTGGGAGGGGGCCAGAGGCCAGCCCCGGCGGAAGACTTCAGCGATATGGTAGATGAATAAATGGAGAAGCTGACCTACAGTAAGTTTTTGAGGGAGAAAATTTGATAGAATTTATTCCCAAGAATATTCTGTGATTGAGGCAGTGTGCCAAATTGCGAGATGATTTTGCACTACATAAGACGCATAGCATGTCACGTGGTTATCAGGTTGTGGGATGAACTAACACATGTTATTTATGTGGGCTGGGCTGTTAGCCGGTTGAGAAGCTAATATCGTAAATTCCATTCAAAATGATCTAGGTTGAACCTAGTTTTAGTAAATTAGCCTTGAATGTAGAAGGTACCAATTACCTGGCATACAGAATCATACGAAGCACTTCAACTATTTGCCCGTCAAACGCCGGTTAATTAATCTCTAGCGATTAAGGTTTGAATCCATTTCTAACTCTTTCATCAACGATTGGAGTCTCGATCGGATTGAGTGCTAAAATTTAGTCGATTCTCTTGCACACAAATTATAAGCACGTACACTCTAAGTGGAATAAGATGATTGGTGGAGAGTATTGTCAGCTTTGTGAACCGATTTTTAACCTACTTCAGAGCTGGTGTAAGATTGAATTTAACGGCTGGATGTCGCAAATCTTAGTTACTAGCCCAAAACTGCTTTAACAAAGCTCTCTTTGAATGCAAGCTTCCAGCAATTTAGCTGTTTGAATATCATGTCATCATTACCGGGTTAGATTTTTCCTGATCCCCACTTAAAGATGTTCCGTCTAGTAGAGCAGTGCAAATTTTACCTTGGGAAATCGAATCCTAGGTCTCGGCCCTAAGAATAGTCAAATTAGCTGCCCAGTCTATCAAGTAGCTGCACAGCCTTGACGCGGGACATCTCGCACGTTTGTTGTGCTGTACATGTATGTGAGTTCTTTGTTTTGAACTCTTATCTCATCTATTATTTTTCTGCTCTTAACCATTTATCATTTTAATCTTGCACATCTTTGCCACCTGACGAAAGGGCAGGAGAAGTGAGCTGCGACTACATCGGTTAGAGCTTTAACAATTTCCGGCCATGCGGGTGGTTATTTGTTCGGTAGAGGAAAAGGCTGTTGTTTAGCCCGCCCCTGCCCGAAGGTCAAACTAGCGCAAATCCACTCTCTCCCTCTAAATGCAGCGCTTCATGGCTAAATGGAGTAAAGTAGTAACCTTCACTTCGAGCGCTTGGTCTGATCGGCCTTTTTTACATGTTTATTCGGATCCAAAATGCTGTTGTAGATTCTGGCACCAGCTCGTCTCCCCGAACGAATTATTAATTACACACACCTGTCACATAGCAAGCAGCTCCCGGTTACAGTTGCACCCCACCCAACCTGAACGGACCGATTTGCTCGCCCCTCTTCCTTTCCCTCTACCTCATGTAATTGTTGCTCAATACGTTGCAGTAATTGACAAGGTCATGGTGGAACAGCAGATATTTCCTGTTACCCCGAGAACTTCACGCCAACAAGCGTCATTTGTGATCTGAGAAGCTTACTTCCGTTGTGCCCAAATTTCAACTTCCATAAGCTATTGCTGTCTATCGCAGACATGCCTCTCATCAACGGTATGAAGATGGCCTGGTAAGTTCTTTTCTATTTCACGAGTTCTTGGCAGGGTCCATATGAATTTGTCTTAGCTACAAAGTTGGCTACTTTTTCCTTGCCGTTCTTTTAGACGGCACATTGAACAATTGTTTAATCATTAACATTATCTTCTAGTGAACCATGTATTCGGGGTCATCGGTCAACAAAGTGTACGCACGCCAACGAGAGGCTGATGGTTCCAGTTAGAAAACCTGGCAGGCCCCTAAGCGCATGTCCACATCCTCGGGATCAAATGTGCAACTGTAGCAGCTTGATTGCTGCCATTCCACGCAAGCAAACTTGCGTATGCGGTAACGACAAGAGTACTCAAGATTCAAACCAAACACCTGTAATAGCTTCTTCGCCATCGGAAACGCCGCAATCACCTAGCAAGCAAGTGTTCAGAGTCGATAAAAATCACCATAGACCATTTAATTCAATCCGCAAGCAGCCTTGTGTTGCTAATCTAGAGAGAATGGACAATAATTTGATCAAAATTTACCAACCTTTTTCGACAGCTTCCGTACCAGTTCTCAACGGATATCATACACCCTCTGTTCCAAAAAATTGCTTTATCCCTCAGTATGTTGAATCATCTTTACAATACCCTCAGATTTCAACGGATATTCCTATTATATCAGCCATATCAAATGATAGTAGTCGCGAGGTTGACGGTTGCAAATATAAGGACTTAACCTTATCGGATGATCAGTGTCAAACTAATAGACACACTCCACAAGTGACCCCTGGGTACTACACAAGCGAAAATATGAACTTTTTTAACAGTTCTAGTATACCAGGATCTATCATGTCCAAATTAAACGGCACACTCAGATCCCCGTTAAATAACGACCGAACTTGTGATTCTCATAAATATAGCCACATCAATAGAATAAGCGATGCTGGTAACGTTTCTTTCGATTTTCAACCAGAAATTAGTGATAGCAACAAAAACTTCAAAAAGAAACCTACCACGGGCCCATGTTGCGAATTCCAAAGTAAGAATCAGAGCCACAGTTCTAGTACCGTTTCGATTCCAGAAATAACTGAGGTCGACACAATCAACTGCTGTATGCCCAAAAACTCGCAGCCTCTGATTCAAGGCGAATCATCAAGTACCTCAACACAAATACTACCGCAAAGCGAGATAGGTTTCGATTCGAACTTCTACCCATATTCATCACAGCCAACGATTTTTACCTACCCCGCCTCATATGGTTCATTCTCTAATCCCTTAGATGCGACTATATGGCGGCAGAATCATGAAACTCAATTCTCGCAGCATCAAGGTCACATCACAGGCCAGCTTTCATATGATTCATCTATAGTTCCAGGTATTCTTAGCACATCACACAAATGCACATGTGGCGACAACTGTCAATGCGTCGGCTGCGCTGCGCATCCTTACAATGATGCGACACAGGATTATGTTAGATCAGCCTGGCAAAGCATGTCTTTAGACTATACCATCAACGAATGTAATCCTATTGAATCTAGTCCCAATGATATTGAAGTATCCCCAGAAAAAATTGAAGGCGTCTTACCTCAGCAGACTATCGAAATCAATTCTCAGAATTCGCCTTCACCTTCCAGCCTATCCGCTAGTTGTGAAGAACAAAGTTTACCGGCAAATGATTTCTTCTTCGTCAATTATTCCTTACCTCCGGACGGCTTTAACAATGAATCTTTAAATATTTCTAGCGGCACAAGAGATATATATGCAGAATGTGATGCACCTAAGCGCAATCCCGGATGAATTTAATCTATAGAAGATTGGTATCTCCAAATTACTTTGGAAAATATCTATCCTTAATAAATCTTTAAATTCTTTACCGAAATAAGAGCATATAGTCTTAATATTCTCAATGAATATTATTTAGATTGGGAATAGGCCAGGTTTTGAGATTCTCCCTATTAATTCTAAAAGGACGCCAAAACTTTAAATCCTAGGGAAGAATATTGTGACGCCTCCAACTTAGGCTTATGTTAATGATCAACGTAATTCCACTCAACATTGTTATCTTCATAAAATCCCAAAAGCTAACATCAAAGATTTCGATGGGTGATTATATATGTAGGCTATTTCAAAGCTATCTTGAAACGCTGTTAGCCGATTTAATTTACGATAAAGGCCACACGATTGTATTACAATACAATTACATATTCTACTTCAGAATGCTTACTACTTCTGAGAAATAACTATTTGTGTGAAGTCGATTTCTATGGATCACTGGTTACTTATGATAGGATGCTAAGTTGAAGCCTATTGTACACAAGTATTGATCCCACTTTCACTATCTCACGATTTATCTACGGTACAAAAATTTGTAAGCCTAAAATAAAAATAGAGCACTTGACTTTACCGATTGGCATGATATATTATTTTCGCACTAACTATATATCGTACAAAATTATCATTCTTTTATCTATATCCCTCCGGACACATGGAATCCGATTTAAAAAAATTTCAATATTCTATATATTTAACTTCACTGAGCTCGATTAATTATAATATCGAATAATTGGAATATTCCAGAAACCAACCACTCAACTGATCTTGAAGGAGAACTATCGATCAATAGCAAGCTTTATACTCAAGAACTACACTAGCTGCATGTTCACAGTATACACAAAAATCCAACGGGTATTTGAATAAATAACCGAATCTTATCGATTAAATAATTATTGTCTTATCAAGAAAATCTTTGTGGACAACTTCAAAATTTCTTGGTGCTTTCTGGCATTTGGTAAGCCTCAATTATTTTGAAATATCCGGTTCGGTTCACAAATTGATGTATAAAGTAGAGCCCAAAAATTCATTATTCTAAAGCACTCAGAAATTCACATGATCTTTATCATTCACAGATACGACGGCCTGGCCGCTTTCTAGCCCAGCTAGATACTCGAGTCTAGTATTTACCCTCAAGAAATTCTTTCAAGACTCGGCAATAAATAAGTTTAACGCCAAAAACTATATCAGTATTTATTTAAAGACACTCAAGACGAAAAACTTAGCAAATATCACCGGGGGACAGCCAATGATATTGAAAAATAAAAGGTGTACAGCTAAGGAAGATGTTAAGTTGTATGTATATTAACACGCTAAGCTAATGTAACCCTTAGCACCTTCGTATAAGCTTAAGCACGAGTCAAGCTAAGATTAGTTTAGCTAAATTCTACCAATTACATAAATCATAGGCCTACCTAACTCGTTACCTTTTTGTTAAATCATGTGAAGTCCGACCCCCCAGACAAACCGATTTTATCGCACCTTAGCGCAAACTCCTCCATGGCTAAGGCCAGCACGAACCTTAGCCCTTGAAACCTTCTCATTCTAATTTGGACTTCTCTTAAGTCCTGGCCTTTCCCCGTCTAAGCTTCTCTTAATTTCAGCCTGGCAACTATTTTATTGAAGTACTGCTCCTCTTTGCTTTATTCTTGGTCTTCCGTCGTAGCTACTCCTTTATACCTCTCATAGAATTGCCATCCGAGAAAATTTGTAGAATCATTCCTTCCAGCCTTGTCCCGTCGTTACCGCAAACCCAACGTCGTTGATCAATTTCGGAATACTCGGGTGGTATTTTTATCACAAGCTTTCTATAGCAGTAATAACAATTGGTGGTTGACATATATCTTCTCTTTCTTTACTTCTAGCTAAAGGAAACACGTATATACAGCAGTTGTCCCTCATGACGCCATTCCTAAACAGGGAACTCATTACTCATCAACATAATTAGTCATCATTTCTAAGATAATACATGAAAGGTCATTAAGACACTAGGCCATTCGACAATCAAGATTGCAGTGGATGTATTAAATCTCCTCCAAAAAGTGCTACAACGGCAATGGAAATATGTGCATATCTAACTTACATCATGATTAACTGGAAGTCTCAAGGTACACTATTGATAATCATAAACTTACTATGATGTGACTCCCAAGATCTGCCCGAATACCAACATCCTAGCATGCATTTATACAGTAAGAACATGGATGACGGCATCAGATTATGGTGAGTGAGTGTTTACAATCCTCATAGGTCTATAACTAATTACAGACATGTAAGTCCTTTCTGCCTACAGGCTAGGAGTATCTATGCCTCATCCACGACTACTTTCCAGCAGTAATACCCCCACAGGTCTTTGTTCAAGTATGCACTAAGAGGAGCCGTTATCCAGTCATTATCTCCTCTCTCCAGCAAACGAAACGATGGTCATTTGCGGGTGTACGGCAGCCGGGGAAGATTGCAAAAACCACTGGGTGAGGAGCTCTTCTACTACCGACATTAGTACTAATCCCGAAGATATAGTGACCCTTCTAAAGCGTTCGAAGAGGCCGGCCAGCTGGGCGCTGCACACTTGTGGGTACCTCGGGAAATTCACACTCTATCTTTCTAGCCTCCTTCCAACTCCTTTCCGAAGATCGTACTGAAATGTCAGAAAGTCTTGACAGAGAGTGAATGCTTTACAGAGCTTAGTGTAAAGGGTTTAAAGAATTCAGAAGTACTTGAAAGACGTTAACTCAATAGGAATTGATAATTTTTCCTTGGGAAGCTAATCTGCCTACGACGGCTCCTGTCCTTTATGTCCTCCTCAGCGTCGCGTTTAAGCTCCCCTCCTAGCCTACCTGAGAATACTCCATTCTCCCCGGCTACCCTCTTTCCTGTGACATCCTCCCCCCCTTAGTTGGTACTCCCTTGGGTCCTTCCTCATGCGCAACCTTGCAATTATCCTTATGCAACACTGAGACTCGTTCTTGTGCGCAACCTTGCATTAATCCTTATGCGACACTTAGATCCCTCTTTGTGCGTATCCTTGCATTCTTCCCCATGCAACCTTTCGCGTCTCTGTAAGCGCTGCTTCGTTGGCGCTTAAAGATCTAGCCGGGTTGGTCCTAGTGACCAGTCCCAATCCGGGCACAGCCCGTAACACTTAGCCCAACTTATTTTGTGCCGTCCAGGGCGTTGGGGAGTGCCGTGGACTCATCGACAATATAAGTCCCGACTAGTTAGCCAAAATATCGCTCTTCGCGCCCAAATATATCTAAGTCGATAAACTGCATGGAAAGTTTCAGTTCCAATTTGCCTGCTAAAAAGCTCTTCCATCTCTATTTATACCTCACAGCTACTAGTGCTCTCTCAAGTTGCTGTGCCCCATTGGAGCGGCGATCCTGTTGTGCTCAGCTAAGGTAGCCCTGGTAGGTAGCGCATGGAGAGTAAGTGTGTCATCAAGGTGCCTTGGGCATGGACAACTCACATGACTTGTTTGGCGCATTTGTTCAGGTAAGGCATACTGGATGAGTAAGCATGGTAGGCATATGATTCGCTGGCAAGCGAGCTAACGGGGTATAAAAGGGGAGAATTTCCAAATGCACATCAGGATACATACATCCATAGAGTCACTTACAATTCACTCTCGATTAGATCATATCATAGCCGTCAAACGCAAGTGTACGTTCCACATTTCATATACCAAGTAAAACAGGTTATGAGCCCAGCGCAGTACCGCGCATAAATGAACCATGCAAATAATATCGCAAGTTTCTACATCCTTTCTCACAAGAACCCAAGAAAGTCACCAACAAGTCTCACACAACCTGGTCCAGTTCCTACAGAATCATCATATCACCAGGAATCTCCCTTGACGACTGGATAAACGATTTACAGGCGAAACTGGCCAAAGAAGTCGTGATCGGTCACGTCTACCACCAGTTCGAGGGAATCCGGCCAATTCACAGACCGGCTGCCCCAACAGATGAGATCGACTCGGACAATTACCTCCCAGGACTGGACGCCTATGCCACTGCTGTCGAGACCTAGACACTGGGTGAGATTAGGGCGAAAAACATTATCCTGGGCCGACTCAACCCAACCATGCGACCGCGCAACCACGACCGTATCACTGCACACCAACTCTACCAGTCAATCATCGACTCGCGCAGAGAGACCGCTACGGCACCATACGCATTAGCCCTGGAAGCCTTCCTAAGGACCAAGTTCGAGTCGCATGCTGACGACTACATAAACAAGCTCTTAGTAAATCTTCAAGGTTTAAACGATTAGGCAGAGACTCTGCATGCCACCACAGGCACAGAGTACCATGTACCAAGAGGACTGGCGGCGGCAATATTCGTCCAGGGTACAAGTCACGTCCCTTGGCTCACTAATTGGAGGGACCTGCGAGCATGTACGGACCAAAATTCGTACGCTACCTTGGAATCTCTAATGTCGACCATCAGGATTGCCAGTGGCAATAGAACAGTCGATCATCTGCCCCAAGTCGCTCCGCTAACACCACCCAATCGGGTATTTGCCACGCTTAAACCTACGGACAGATTAGATCCGGAGGCCGAATACAGACGATGCAATCATCGACACAATCACAGAGATTGTTTCAAACAGCACCCAAATGTGACGGCTTGTAAGCCGGTAATTGCCTGTAGCCTGCGCAGGCTAACGCAGGCTTAGCATGAAACTAGGCAGGGACTATACTTCTTGGCAAGCACCTCCAAGAATAGGGCACGAGAAGGGATACGGATATACGGATAGAAGACTGTGTCATTGGCCTGGATAACAATCATGTATAATGGAACTATTATTATCCTCTTCAATCTGTAGTTCGCCATAGATTGAAAATAAACTACCTCTGACCATAAGGTTGCTCAAGTGCCTATGCTTAGACTGTGACATATTTTCAATCTCAAACTAAACTCACCACTCTAGACGAACGATGATATACATACGACGATACACGCACG